ATATTCCAGCACATCCGGGGCACTCGTCGTCTCATTTAATTGCCTGACCAACTTCGCAGAGTCTGGGTATCACACCCTAACTTTTCTAAACTTGATTTTGTGAAAACCAGTGAGTTGTGAAAACGTTATTTGAAACTGAAACTGTGGAGGAACTTGAAAACCGGACTTCGAACTTTGAAAACTTGGACTAGAAAGAAATTCAAAATCTTCGAAGTTTTTTTTTTTTTTTTTGAGTTTAGCGTTAAAAGAGAATCGAAACTTTCAAACTTTTCTAACTTTATGCAGAAAGAAATTCGAAATCTTCGAATTGTTCGAACTTCATGTCTATAAAAATTCGAAGCGTTTGAAGTTATCGAATTTTATTTCCAAAGAATTTCGAAATCTTTGAATTTATCGAACCTGAAGTAAAAAAATATTCGAAATATTCGAATCCGAAATTTTAGAAACCGTGAAAGCTTCGAACTTTTCGAATTCGAAACTCCACTGTAATCGAAAGTTACGAATTTTTCGAATTCGAACCTCGATCGGTACGAAAATGTCGAAATTTTTCGAAATCGAACCTTAGTTCACTTCACAAATATTGAAACCTTTCGAAATCGAACTTGGGGTGGTTCGCGACATCCCTAATCTCGAGACATCTCAAGGACCGGAAGTTGCCGTCTCAAATATTTCAGAAGCAGCCGATTCTTGGCAAACTTCTGTCGTGGTATATGTGTGAAATCTAGACTTTCTTTATCTATTATTTTTTTACGTTTAAATTCAATGTCTGATTTTTGACCGATCATTGTTTCCAAGCAGGTTCCAGTCCCGTGTATTCATCCAGAACAATGTCCCTAGGAAGTTTGTTTGGAGCGGTGACATCACACTTGCGGGTCAATTACCATGGCAACTCCATGGATACTACTGTAAAACCCTTTATTTTCGCGGCCCCTATTTTTCGCGAATCGGTCACAGATGACATAATCGCGACCACTAAATTTCGCGAATTAATTTTCGCGCGCCCTTAAATTTTGCGAATTCTTCAATTCGTGAAATTCGCGAAAATTGAGGGCTCGCAAACATTAAGGGTTTTACAGTATGTGTCCAGCGCTAGCAAACGCTGACAACGCCGCAACCCACCCCCCCGGACAAAAAACATACGCTATCGTTATCCTTTTTTAATCCCAATGTTACCCCTCTTCCAACCCTTCCCGACTTCCTTTACTCAAGAGTTGGTAACCCTAGCTAAAAGTGATCGGTAAAGAGTGCAAGCAATGCTCTTATTTAGAACAGTGCCTTATTTTCCAGGTTCACCAGAGGGATTCCCAGTCAAAAAGCTGCTAATGATCAGCTTTTCGAGAGCTTAGCTGACGGGGATGGGTAACTTACGATAACAACAGCAATATGCTCAGCCATCCAGAAAAGTAACTTCACTTGCCGACTTTGCGAGAAACTTGAGGGAGGATAGAACATGAATGGGTTCAAGCAGAAGCAGAGCAGAAGTGTATTGTGCTTGAGGCTTCAGACACAGGTCGATCTGAAGCAACAGAAGTTGCAGGATCTTACCAGCAGTGCCAATCAGTTCGTCCTACTATTTTTATAGACCCCTTTAGAAAATCACAAGCTCAATGCTAAAAGGTCTGAAACAATGCACAATGGCAGAACAAGCGATGGAACAAGAGATTCTAAAACTACATCAGCTAGAAATGGAGTGGCATTAGTAGTTTCTGAAGTTCCAACATTGGTGGTCTTTCGTGTCTGCCATTGTGCAAGGGTTCCACAACTTCGAACAGAGGACACACTTTCGAAAGGGATCTACTGACAGTTTCATTGATGCTGCAATGGTTCATAGGAGGTTCATTAGCCATGTTCGTCTTAATCCACCTTGCAACATTTCGTTGCAAGTTTCCTTCCCTGCACATTCTGTCAGGTGCGGGCATCTTATTTCGGTGGTCCTCCGATACAGTAGCCTATTTTTTCGAACCTATGGCGGTTCCGATGAAGCTTGACACAAGCTCGAGCCCGAGAATGTAATGCACGTTCTCCAAGCAGATTGGAGCGAATCACACATTTAGCGTGATCTGTTGGAAGCCTGATTTGCCCAACACCTTTGTTAGGGAGTGCGGATTTATTTTTGATGTTTCAGAGTCGCCTGGCATGCTTCTAGCAGGCGAAGTGAAGCCAGTAATCCAATCTAATCCACCTGGGAAAAATATTTTGTCAATGGAATGTCGCAAGTACACGAAACGAGTTTCCAACGAGGCGTGTTGATAAGCTGTTCTGCAAAAAAATGTGTTTCAACAAAATGATAGACTCGCCCGCCAGGTAGCCCCGACATAGGCAAGGTCGGTCATAACCAACGTTACTAAAACCACTCAGTTGGGAAACTGCCATAGAGACTGCTCTGAAAAAGTGGCACCGTTCCGTACAAAAGAACCGAGCTAATGGCAATCCTAATGCTGCCATTTCTCCCGGAGCGGCCACTCGAGGAACTGCACCCGACTTGTCTTTTGGCTTTCATCGGCCATTTTGGCACTGAAACAGATACGGTGGAAGGGGCTTCAGGGGTGCCACCCCCATCTCCCCAGCGGACACGTCGCGGATTACCACCAAGGTTAAGATGCGCCCAGGTCGGGACGCGCTACCTGAAATCACCGCTGAGGCATGGTTGTATAAAAACAATATTAATTGTACTGCAAAACCTTGCAAACTAAAGACTTTAGAAAACAACACGTGCCCTTCATTTTCGACTGAACTCCAATAAAAATTTTTACAAAAAAGGTTTTTTCTGTTGGTTTTTACGCAAAAACATGCTTCTAAAAGCTCAAAGTGACCATAGTAGAGTAGACAGTTGGGCGGGTTGGTAGTTATTGAACATAGTTACAGTTGCGCACACAGGGACAAGGAAAGTGAAGAGGAACACGTAGACGACAGACAAGCCACTGGGAGGGCACAACAACAGATTTGGGAGAGAAATCATCGAGTCATTTGCCATGGGGACTGTTAACAACAACATTTCTGCACCGTCATTATCATTGACAAAGACAGAGGTCGAATTCTTAACACCAGAGATAACTAGAATATTGACACCTCGTCGTGACGCTACAGATTTTTAGACTCTTATATTTATAGTACAATTCCCTTTTTGGACTGCAAACAAGAATAATTCTGCATTATCATTGACAATGACCAAGGTTAATTCTGACTAATCGAAAATAACTTGATTACTGATGCGCTTTTCAAACTTTTCTTTTAGTGTATTCCCTTTCCTTCATAACTAGTATCTCCTTTCCCTCTTTGAGAACGCTGAGACCCTTGGGGGCGGTTTTTTATCGTTGTGCCATTCTATGTTGTTGCTAAATGAAAGATGTCCTGTTCTCGTCCTCGTCCTCTCTGTTTTATACTTTCAAGTTTTGTATCTATTAACCAACACGCTCGTTTTCAATTGTAACAGACAGACAAGCGCACACTCACTACTCGTGTATTAACAAAAGGGGAAAAGAAAGTGGTACAGAATGCGGAATCCGCTCGAGCATTGGCCACACAGGCACGAGGGGCCACAGGCATGAGGGCTCGAAGGGGGCACGTAAAATTACCCACAAGGAAAAGATTTTAAGAGGGCAATTTCCTCGTGTGGACACGTAAAATTACCCACACGAGGAAATTGCCTTCTTAAAATCGTTTTCTTGTGGGTAATTTTACGTGCCCCCTCGAGCCCTCGGGCCGGTGGTCCCTCATGCCTGTGTGGCCAATGCTCGAGCGGATTCCGCGTTCTGTACCACTTTCTTTTCCCCTTTCGTTAATGCACGAGTTGTGAGTGTGCGCTTGTCTGTCGTCTACGTGTTCCTTTTCTCTGTCCTTGTCCTTGTGTGCGCAACTATAACTATGCTCAAGGTGACCACAGTAAAGGCAAATGATAAAGAGTGGCGCTGTTGTCGTATTTAGCTCGGTCTCGGTGGACGCCAGCGGCCCAGGTTTCAATGTCGAGTTTCCCAACTGAGGGTTCTAGTAACGTTGGTCATAACCAATGCTACAAACATCTCGCAACGTTTCGTCGACAGCTTCTTTCCGTGCTCATTGCCTTGGCTGCCAGCATCCCAATAGGAGCCCAGACTTCCGAACCCTAAATGATTCCGGCGAGGCTTGCCGTAAGCTCGAGCCCGAGATTATATTCTATTTTTCTCCAGCGAAGCACGAAGTGACCACAAAAAGCACAGTCTGTTTGAAATGCAGTAGAGTGGAAAGCTGGGCTAGTTGGTAGTTATTCATCTTGGTTTTAAAAGCGCACAAAAGACGAGGACAGAGTATGAAACACAAACAACGGACGAGCGCTTTTTTAAGCTTTTTTTTAAAACCAAGATGTCTGTTTGAAAGCCCAAGAATAGGGCTCGCAGATTTGCTTTTGCTGTATCGAAGATGCCTGGCCTTTCACGAGCTTGGAGCGTGCACCAGCAACCGAATTGCATGTCGGAAGACAAAGAGGGCATGCTGGAGGCAGGCAGGGCATTCCAAGAAAGTGCCCTACGCTTCTTATTCAGTCAGGGACTACAACAGGGGTGGCCAGACGGGCATATGGAAAAAGCCATTACAAAGCACCATTTCAAGCAAAGAGTCACAACAGAAAGGGGGTGTGGCAGTTTTGTTTTTAATTTATCGTTTCATTCGTAAAACACACACCCTGTTGGATGTACGTAAGGGGCCACGAAGCTGCCAAAAACACAAACCGTCTTGTAATTATATTGTTCTCCATTCAACTTTGTGGGGGGGGGGGGAAGGAGGGGGGAGGGTTTGTTTACTAGAGAGTGTGAGCCGCACTTGCAATGTGCGAAGAGCCGCAGTTTGGCCATCCCTGGATCGGCTATGAACTTAGTGCCCATTGTCACGTTCACTCTGACGATTCCCCCTGGCGGCCAATAAAGGAAATGACGTAGGTAGCAACCTCTACGAGAATTACTTGCGTCGTCAGAAGCCAATGAGAACCACAAGCCCTGTTCACATAGAGAAAATTGAAAGACTGCGAGAACCATTTTGTTTCCATTTTATTAGCACTGCCTATACAAAAATATCTCGCCCCTTTCTGGCAAGGTGCCAGAGATTGGCAATAAGTTAAATTAGCCCTATCTTATCCATTTTCCGCCTTATGTATAACATTTATAGCAGCCTACAGGTCCCGCGACCGGAGCACCGGTCTAACCCGGCTAAAGCACAAATGCGTCTTGGCCTAGAACGGGTGGTTTTCCCCGCTCTCAGGTGTACCGTCCCAGGACCATGGCTCGCAGCAGTGGGCCGACCTGGAAGAGAGATGGCTCTGAGCGCGTAGGCCTTTTATTGCGCGTGCTATCCGCGCATGGCGTAGAACGAGCGACCGGTTGGTCGGGGCAATCCCGTTGGTGCAACTGCTCCACGCTCGGCGACAGGCTAAGAATGCGGTGGAAAGCACCACCTCTGCCGTGCGCTCGTGGCCTTCAGCCAGGCTGAAGGCAACGAGTGCACAACGGTGTGACAAAGGGCCATCAACTGAGTTGATGGCCCTTCGTCACATTGGGTTCTCGACCTGTCACCGTCTATGCTATTAGTCCTCCAGTAGTCTACTATTTTGGAGGCCATCGGAAGTAAGGCGCGATGCACAATGGGTACAATATAATAAGTTGGCAAGATGTGCCGTTTTGTACTCAATCTAACGCTATATTTAATAAGCATTCTACAAGACCATTATGACTACGGTTCTTGACTGCCTTGCCGGAGGCTCGGGTTACTCCCGAAGCCATGGGCCGCCGCGTCTGTGACGACCACAGGCATAAATATTACGAGGCACGCTGTCTCGTAACTCTGCCCCAGAAACAAACCAAACTCAACAATATAACATGAGGTCTTTGAACCTTTCGGAGTTGTGTCACTTTAAACGGCAGGAAATGTTTGGATATAGAGGGCAGACTGCTTTCAGGGCCAAAGGGCAGATCCACAGGGCAATGACCGTATGCAAGAGGGGAATTTCCACGCTTGGTGTGCGAACCTGGGTTGGAAAGCGAGGAACAAGGGGGAGTGCGAGAAAAGACTCGGAGGCGAATGGACGCATCGCATCGTCGAGCCGGGCGACGAGACCACTGTCGATGGCCTCTCGCCAAGTACAACACGGAGTTCCACTTTGTGTGAGCGTGTCAGCTGAAGAAGCGGGTGCGAGGCCAGGGGGCCCCAGCCATAGTGAGCCAGCCGACTGCCGGAACTCCTCCACCTTGGACGGAACGCGCAGGGAGATGTCAGCAATCGACTCGCCAGATGAGACTTTCTGCACTTCTTGAATTAGTATCTTTTGGTTCGGTTAATCGTAACATTTTCATTAGTGACTGTATAAGCCTCTACAAACTTAGATTTGTAAGCCCTGTTTTCATAAGCGTTCTACCCAAGATTACAGAAGTGATTTGTAAGAGTGTATATGTGTCTTAATAAGCTTTCCACCTTCCACTATATTTAAGTTTTTCTGCGTTCTCGAGATAAGTCTTTGTCTCTCTTCATTGGTCAGACTCTCTACCAGTGCGTGGACCTATCGCTCGGTCAGTGGTCCACCCTTCAACGTCATGCCCGGAGAACTCTCTCTCAATCTTTTTTTTTTTTTGGTTGTGACAGCCACCCCAGGGCTGCAAATCGCGAAATATTCACATTCTTTTCTTTGGTATTAGGCAACAAAATTGCAATATTTTAAAAGAATGAGGAGGTTTCTCCATCCGTTTTGGTAAGATAAGCAATGTAAAATTAAAAACTACAAAATCTTTCGAAGTTAAAATTGTTGCATCTACAGAAACTGCAAACAAAGATGTTCTTAAACGGGCCCCTGCAATGAGTTTTTTTTACTAATTTTTTAATTTGCACCGAACGCACTGACCGTAGTAACTTAATCAAACTTTGCTTTTGCCGAATTTCGCTTTATTTTAAAAGTTATAGGCAAATTAAAATTACAAAAACAACCAAAAAATAACCTCCTTCATGACGTCCTTGATTGCTTGAGTGGCCGTGAACTAGAGGAGGGGTAGTGAGCTCAGCGAGTGCTCACGGCTGCCGCACTCCGTCTCAACGGCGCGAGAGGGTGCCACTAAAGCTTGTTGTGGATAGGCTGTATGCAGCGGGCAGCCAGAGCGGCTCTCATTGCATTTGCTGCGGGATTAAACACTAATTCAGCATGACACTTCATTGGCCACAAACGACAGCAAACACGGGGTAAAGATCAGTTCAGAACGGGAGCCACTTCGCGCTGCCATACCGCGAAACGGCCGAACCGCCAGACAAAGCTGCTTGACGAAGGCCTTCGGAACGCTCGGAGCCGGTCGGATTTTCCAGTCCCTTCGACTGCAGCACCGCCGCATACATCCGGGACCTTCCGTGTCGGCGCCTGATCCCACTAATCCTTTCTAGTATGCGCCGTCTTTTCCACCGCTTGGAGGCGGGTATGTCGACGGGTCATTTCTTGTTTCCGTATTTTATAAACTGCATTTCTGATCTTTTCTGATCTAAAATACTGAACCAAAACTTCCTATATAAATAATTGAAACGGTTCGCACCACTTATATTTTGTATTTCAACTAAAAAGAAGCTTTTAGCGACTCTGACCAGTAGTAAGCCCAGGACCAAAGACGTCACATATCGCGCGCTTTCGGTACTGCGGGTCGGCCCCGTCGATGGAGGAGGTTTCCGCGTCATCCGGTTAAAATATGATGCACTGATATTTAGTTACTCTCTCCGTGCCCGCTGGCTTGCCCCAACCCCAAGAGACGTGAAAACCGCAAAAAAGGTAGACGCTTAAATATGATTGCAGGGCCCCTTTAAAGGGGTACTCGGGCGATTTTTTCATGGTCGCTGGTTTGCCTCAAACTTGGCTCAACACACCGATGGACATGGCTCTACGAGTTCCCCAAGTATTGTGTGAAAAGAAAAAAAAATATTCGCGAAGTTATTGAATTTTCGAATTTCGTTTTCATCGTGTTTTTCAGACCGGGGGCCCCTACTGGCAACATTAAAGTGTGACGACAGAAATGGTACAAAGTGGGCAGTAAGCAGCAGTAAGCCATGTTCCCAACTGATTACACAATGTTTGATGGTGGGAAAAGAATGTTTGGTAACTGATTCACTGAGAAGCACGCAAAAAACACTCGACATACTCTGTTTAAGACTACATTCACGACCTGAAAGTCTGTACCATGTGTGATGTCACACCACTGAAGAGCGCGCAAAAATTTGAATGCTGGTTTCGGCGTCATCTTCCTTTACGGTTTTCTCACTTGCTATTTTGCATTTCGAGAAAATAAATAGCATACCTTGACGACTGAAGTCCGGGTAGTCAGAAAATGCCATTTGTTTAGGTAGCTCCAAAATGGTCGGAGTACCCCTTTAAGAAAGTTGAATATTTCGCATCTAGGGCCCTTTTCTTTGCTATCTACAATTACAATTTTCTTTGCTATCTACAATTACAATTTTCTTTGCAATCTACAATTACAATTTTCTTTGCTATCTACAATTACAATTTTCTTTGCTATCTACAATTACAATTTTCTTTGCAATCTACAATTACAATTTTCTTTGCAATCTACAATTACAATTTTCTTTGCTATCTACAATTACAATTTTCTTTGCAATCTACAATTACAATTATCTTTGCTATCTACAATTACAATTTTCTTTGCAGTCTACAATTTCAGACAAAATGTAACAATGAAATCTCGTTCATGGACAAATTATGGAGATCAGAAGCTAAGTTTTCAGATACCAGATATTTTTAAACCAACACCCAACTATTTTAGACTTTCTAAATAGTGCCAGGTAACCCTTAATTATAAGAAAAGTGTGAAAGAGATTTTATTTATGGATGAATAAAACAATGAAAGATATGTCCTTAACTTCTTCAATGATAAATGCATGTGACAACACAAAAAAGTGTAATTTTTTAAACATCTGTTGGAGCAAAATGTAATATTATAGTTAATTAGCCCACATCTGTTTGCACACCACTGGTTGTTTCTTATTTGTTTTCTTTTGTATTTGTTTTTTTACTGTATAGCAGTGAAAGCATGTCACTCTTGTATCTCTTGTTTTGCTACAGCTGTTGCAAAAAAGGGGGGTGTGGCCTCGTCAGGCACTGCAAGAGCCTTTAGCCATGTCCCCTGAGACTTTCTGTAAGGCTGTTGTGACAAGTATGTAGCGCCCCCCTCCAGTCCACCCATCTGTGGCCGCCAGGCTCGGCGGGCAACATTGGTCACTGCGCCAAATAAACGCCGTGGAGCGCACGCCTCCCCGGTCAGTCATCGTCCACCCTCACAACCAGGCTGCGTGTCGTCTCTTCTCGGCGGGTGCTTCGGCCCCCTTCGTCCACGTTCGAGAAGGATCGTGACAGCTGTCTCAGATAAACTCAAACAAACAAACAAACAAACTTTTTGCTGAAGACTACTTTTTTTAAGGGGGAACACTGGTCTTGGAGCTTTTTTTCTTATTTTATGACCAAACCGAATGAAATTACACAAGCTTGTTCAGTTTTTTGTGCTGATTTCATATATCTGGTAATTTTTAAAGTCAGAAGAATTGTCCTCAAGATAATTAAAACTTGCCTGCCTTTGTTTGGAGGAACGATAGCAAAAAAACTGCTCAACAAAATATCCTTTTTAAGAGATGGCTAGATACTACGAAGTGTAGAGAATACAATGTTGGAAGTACTTTTAAGATAAACCCAATATTAGTGATTTTACCACACATTGAAGTGCAGTGCTCAATGCATGGCTAACAAGTAATAAAACAAAAGATCAAATAGAAAATTTTCTAGGCTTGTATTAAAAAATCTGATCTCAACATTGTATGCTTCACACATTTAGCTACACATTTCAGGAGAGGTTATATTTCTATCTGCTATAGATGCTGGAATATCCTCCTGCAAATTTTCAACTAGTCCAAAAATTGTGTTTTGTGAAAACAATGTTTTAGAGTCAACTTCAACGCACAATCAGCTTGCGTAGACATTATAAATTGATTTATAGCTCAAATATTCATCTATGAAATTAGAAGTTTGGTAGGTTCAGAAGAACAACAGCCATCGCCATTTTCAAAAGGCTGCAGTTTTAGGCAGTTTTTGGCTCCAAAGACCCATGTCCCCCCTTAAAGGAGCTGTGCAACGATATTCAATTGGAATGTTTTTCTCTCTACACTAGCTTACTGGCACACCTCGGACTCAAGGATACTCACACGCAACACCATTGGCCAAGAAACTCCTTTGTTGTGGTGTAATTTCAAGGACAAAAGCGATCATTTTCATTCAATCTCTCCTTTGCAAAATTTGATGACGTAACTCGGGGATCCCAGTACACCCAAGTGACGATATTTGAATGCGGTTCATAGATTGGACCCGAGCATTGCGTGGGCACTCGACTTGGGCTCGTGACAATTGCTAGCTCGAGAAGCATTCGGGTTGTGACCCGTGTCCAATCGCTGCAACGACGACAACAGCCGAGCCATAACAATGTCTGGAACTCAGCGCGTGTCCTGCGCTTTGCCAACCCCTGCGCGTGGCTATGATCAACACTGGCGGCATATAATCGGCTCCAGATCACGTGGCCGCTTGTTCTGGCTGCGAGTTGAGGGGGTGAACGCCGCTCGCTTTTCTTAAATTTTTTTCTGGGACTTCTATTGCGTGGGGTGAAAAACGAACGCGTGTTTCATAGGTCATTAACGTTAGGGATCCGATTTAAGCGGTATTTGTGCACAGTACAAAAATTGTTGCATCGCTCCTTTAAGTGCTATAAGAAATAACTTACGCCAGCTCCGGAAATTAAATATTACTTTAACAACTGCTTTTTGGGTCTGTATATTTTGCACTCTGTTTTGGTCGTTGGCGAGCTGGTATCTTGGCAACTATATGGACTATTTTCGTTCTGTTCCTTCGATTGTACTCTTTGAGTTACACACCACTTGGTGATATTCTCATTTTTACAAGTTATTTCTTCTTCAATTTATAACGTGGTCCTTCACCTGCGTGCCATTTGTGTTCCTCCAGAAGACGTAACGAGGAATACATACTAAAAATAATTATGTGAGAAATAAAAAAAAAGCCAGAATGTCACATTATGTAACTTGCTATAGGGAATGCTGCAAAAGCCTAACGAGCCTTCTATCATATTTTCTAAACTCTGCTGGCTCTCCACTAGCTTCAAAGCAGAGAAGTGTTGTAAATGAAAAAAGTAATTGAGATATGATAATGACATTTTGGTTGTTTTTATCGAGATCCTCTTAAAGCTAGAAGAGTTTTTGTTGATTACCAGATCCTGCTTTAACTCTTCCCTGATTGTGCCCACAGGGCATCGATCACTGGTGATAGATGGTTTCCAAGCTTTGTCAACAAATTAAATTTAGTGCAGAGAATTATGTTCCGGTTTCAACGTAGGTTTGAGCTTTATCACAAGCTGGTGGGCTGTCAAATATTAAAGCTGTTTACAACACCCTGGAACGCCGAATTAGAGCGCAGCTCTTGAGCAGGAGGATAGAAGGGTACTGAGGGGTTCGGTTTCGGTTTCAAAATTCGGTTTCTTAACCTATCGCGCTACGACTTTGTGCAGCGTTGCCCATAGATGGAGCATTTGTTTTTGTAAAATTTGCAAAGAGCGAACTTACCTGAGGAAAAAGTAAAGAAAGAAAAAGAATGGCGAAGCTTTTGTTTGTTAGGGTATGAATCCAAACGGAAGTGCCTATCTCGTAAACCTTTTGTTAAGAATAAAAACTCTCATCATACGGGTTATCCTTTAAACATAAAAATATGCCGCTCAAAAGGAAATTACAACATATAACGAAGGTTTAACAACCAAGATCTAAGCTGTCAATCAAACTCTTAGCCAATGAGAAGTATAGCAGCCAATCGGGGATAAACGTCACAGTACACCGACTTTGTGGTGCGCGATTTAAAATGGCCGAAATAGCCGCAAACTGAAATCGGTCTCACGCAATAAATATTGCTGTAAAAATTGCTTTTTCTCGCCTAAAAATTGTTTTTTGACATGCTTGTCCAAATTAGGCTGTTTAGAAAAAATCGTTTTTTTCTTTGCAGTTACCCTTTAAAAGTCCCCTTTCGAGGGCATTACATATCGCTTAAGAACGGTAGTGTTGCTTTCCGTGCTGAGTGAGCTTCGTAAGGTGCTTTTCCTTCGGGGAAAAAGGCACCCTGAAAGAGCCCTAGAAAGGTTCGCAATTTATAAAGCATGGTTATTTTGGCGCGTCCCCGACCAGCCGTGGGTGCGCCTCCATCAGTGGAGACGTGCCACAGTACCTTGCCGTGTCATATTGGCACCTAATACTATGACATTTGCACAAAGCGTGTAAATGCAAAAATTTTACCCCGTGTAATGAACGTCCTCCCCAAATATGTGTCAATTTTTCGGGAAAAAAAGTGTGTTTATTGTGCGAGTAAATACAGTAGGTCACAGGACGTCAACTTCCTCCCTAAATTTACCAGGAAAATTGAAGTGGTGTTGGGTCGTGTTGGGACGTTGGGTCGTGTAACATCAGTTTCCCGATGTGAAAGTGTTTATATATTGTGTGACATCAATTTTGTTGCTACTATATTTAGCATGGAGACTCTGGTCATGTGACGTCTGGTCACACATGACGTCCATTTTCCCGCTGAATTTAGCAGGAGATACATGGACAGACGGACACAATTTAGGGATTGGGGAGTTGCGCTGAAAAGCAGCCCACGCTATAAAATGGTCAGTGAGATGCGTGGGCACTCACCTCGTTGACGTCCCTGAGGGCTTCCACGAGCACCTTCTCAATGTTCCTCATGATGGCCATCTTCTGGTGTCCCATCCGGGGGTAGATGACCTTGTCCACAGGGGCCGCCTGCAACATTCCACCTCCATGTCTCCCGTGTTCTCCACCGGGAGACATAAGCTAGCAAAGTACGCAACTCGTGTGACTTCGTTAGTGGTAGTACAGTTAAACCTCGATGTAACGAAGTCGGTAAAATTCGCAATTTACTTCGTTACATTGAAATTTCGATAAATCGAAATTTGGCTTTAGCATGCAAAAAAAAAAATTCCGAAACATTTTACGGGTATGAAAACTCACCGAAAATGACATTTATTTTGGGGCAAAGCAGTCCGCGAGTTTTGCTTGCGCCTTGTCCGACAGTAGCAGCTGCGTCATACGGCGTCCGAGCGCCCAGAGCGCTTGCACGGCATCTTGCTGCCCATGCGACGCCGTGTACCTCGTCAGTACGTCCATCGCGTCGAGCACTTCCCGAGTGCTCGTGATCTCAGCAGTTTCTTCAGGATGGCGTCCAAAACGTTTGCTTTCTCAGCCAAAGAAAGAACTTTACGTTTCCTTATGGCAGCAAGCACGTGAGTGAACCGCCCGGTTGAAAAATAAAGCTGTTTAGTTTAGGCGGTACCAATGTTTCCAACCTACACAGCACTCTTGCCTGCACAGTTTACTTGCCCCCTTGCGCCCACACTGTGCTTGCGCCTTTGCTTTACATCGCGGTCGTCACGGTCGTAAGACGATAATCGGTCTTCTCGGTCTTCTCGATGGCACTGCCCGTGCGGTCGCGCCATCACGTCGCTCCCCCGCTGAGGTTGGCTCCCGCGGTACAGTGGACTATGATGATCAGTGAATGTCAGTGGTGATGCTGTTATGCTGTGTAAACTTTTTGCTCGGCATTTTCTGGCCAGCCCCGCGGAATCCGCTTTGCCGCATGCCTCGCCGGCGCTACCGGCGCCGCAAACGTTAGAAGGCCTGTCCCCGTGAAGTAACCTATCAAGCGCTCGCATTTGCGCATAATTTTTTTTTAACCACAATTTTTTTGCGAAGTTGTTTTTAGAGTCTATTTATTTATTGCCTTCTATGGCAATGGCGCTTCGTTATATTGAAATAGCAGCAAAATAGACTTCGTTATATAGAGACTAAAAATACATGGGGTCTATGGGCAAGAAATTATGAAAAATAAAATACTTCGTTAAATCGAGGATTTCGTTACATTGAAGTTCGTTATATCGAGGTTCGACTGTATACGATTCTTGTGGTGATGGGAGTGGAAATTGATTGTTTTTTTGTAGTAGGTCTTGCAGCGGTCAAAACATTGGTTTGGAGTAACCAACGATACTTTGAGAGTAGGTGCCAACATGTGTTTGCTTGTCAGTCGAAAATGAAAGAATGATTACTTCGCTAAAATAAAGCTCGCGCAAGTATAAGTTCGTCTTCGGCGATGGCTGAGGGTTCACCTTTCATTTTGAAGCCTATTGCTTATCAAGTTTTGCAATAAGAACGCATAAAAACGGTTATGAAGAGAATGCAAAAAGGGACACAAAACTCTAGTTTTGAGAAATGAGGCTGATGTCAAAGGGGGCCCTCTTTACGCGAGTGAGAAGAAGAAGAAAGTGGTCGATATGGTTGCTTCTCAGACAAATGAAAAAGTTATCCCTGTAGATCGTAGTTAGGAATTTTGTTTTCAGCTAAGACAAAAAAGGAAAACGGAAAACACTTGCAGGTAGCATTTTCGTCAATTCAGATTTATCCGCAACATTTCAATTTTGAAGAGCACAACAAAAAAACAGAAACAATGCAAGACCAGTATTTTGAAGGAGTGCAGTTTCCTTTCCAATCTCGAATGACTGACAAAAAAATTAGCAGTCCCGCATTAATCCAGAGTACAGTCGTGGTGAAGACCTTGGACATCAATGCTGCGTTCACGCATTATGAGGCCTTGACGGCAAAGCCTCAATTGAGTTTGTTCTCCCGAGCACGCCCCTCACAGTTCTCCCTGGAATGAATGGGGAGACGGTTTCCCAACAAGCGCATTGCTAGCACGCGGTGATGCCAAGACACCCACGTCTACCACTTTGCACCATAGTCCTGTCAAGTTTCGGCATGTTTGCCGTTTAGGGAGGCTCCGGGATACACTGTGACGTAATGCAGGAACCCGTCGCCTAAGTGGTACTAATACTAGACGCCATTCCCGACACTAATAGGTGACCAGCGTTTGAGTCGGAAGTTTCGTCATCCGAAGCGAGGCACCACAGGACTTCACGATTCCGATTCGTCCGGTGCTGGTCGTGGTTCGTCCAGCTGCATCGAGAGCCCTTCTAGGCGTGGTAGCCGTGCTGTATTCGCGGTGAAAATGGTTCACAGTTCCGCGGTACGTTGTTCTAACGCAAGCCATAGAGGGCATAAGATGTCCCAATTCCAGTGAAACAAAGCATGGAAGCAACGATGGGCCGTCGCTGTTAAGCGAGTGATAGGGCGAGGTGACCTGCGACAGACGGACGTCGGTGACCGTTTAGTGCGGTCAATATTGTTACAGGCCAGTAGAACGTTTTCTCTCTTCAGGTAGGGGCCGCGGGAAATAATGATCTCTAACAATCTTTTGGCACCCACCAAAAAGGTCTCGATTAATCCGCGAAGGGGTGAGCGCTGCTTGTCGTACAAGGCATCCGCGAGAACGCGGGATGCGATCTCGCAAGCAATCAGTTCATGGCATGACGTTTCGTCGACATACAGTGCCATCGCCAGGCCTTTTAATTCTTATATCGACAGCTCGAATTAACTTTTTCTGTAAGGAGCCGCCGCAGACTGTTCCCGCGAAGCGGCGGTGAATGGGTGGCTTACTGTGATATAAATAAACAAAAGAACAGGTCAGCTTGCTGTAATTAAAAGAAGTAAAAGCAAATGGGCAGCACCTTCATATTGACTGATAATAAAGCGGTAGTACGACCCTGCGTAGCTCATATCAAAATCGGTTCTTGTTCAGGCATGCTTTCTTACTCGACATCATTAAAAAAAACGCGAGGGGGGGGGGGGGAGTTTGGTAGTTCACGGGGGACAACTTATTTGAAGTACCAAAAACGAGCGACTGTTAAAAAGCAGGGGAGGAAGTGGCCGAGTGGGCTGACACTTCTCAGCTCGGAGCGTGGAGAGAAAGCTTGCGCCGGGAACCTCCTGGGATCGGTTCGCCGCCCCCCCCACCCGTTTCGATCTGGATGAGTTTCGTACCTTCACGCGTTCGTGTGATCACTGCTGCGTGATGCACGTTAAAAACCCCAGGTTAGTGGTTGCACTGCACCGGCTAAGTTTCTCATCTACAGCTAAGAGACCGATTACCTGCTGAGGCGCATCTCCATCAAGGCTGTATAAACATAAAGAGCAAACTAATTTTTAGTGTTAAAAAGCAAGGATTGTGACGTAGTCAGATGTCATTGAAACTAACTTCTGTACGGAAGTGGCGTTTCAATCGCGCGAGAAAACATATTAGCCGAGTTTGAAACGCCGTCTGAACGACTTCTTCCCCTGTCTTCAACTTTTGATTGCTTCAAGATTTTCTTACCAAGTCTCAGGTGTTCTAACAAAATGAGCAAAGTACGCCAGACCTCCGATCGGGCATTTCAGCTGGCCGCGTCCTACGGCTGACATTCGCACCTATTTCAGTCGTGATGTGATCTAACGTAACCATCAAAAATAAACAGAACCGAAATGAAAAACGCTGGCTCAAAAGAAAAACAAAACATCTAACCCCAGTTTTCATGCGAAGACCCGGAAAGCGCGGTGCGAGTGCAGCTTGCCGCCGGCCGCACTCGCTCTGCGCTTTCGTGGCCGTTCTCGACGCTTCTGTGTACTGACTGCTACTTAACATATCCGTAGAAGTAACTTGGGACGTTCAGAAGTGCGTAAGTCATTCAGCAGCAGAGGAAGGTGGCCCGGATTGATTGGGTTTCAACACCCGCAGACGCTTCCATAGCCGTCCTGGGGCTGCGTCGGCTGCTAGCTACGAACCGGAAGTGAAGAATACCCAGAGTGCTTTGCGGCTGCTGCCAAACGCCGGTCACCTATTGTGCTGCACCCGCGCCTCAAACTTCTGGCGAAAGACGCCCGTCCGGTGGGTTCTGACGCCCATCTTTCCTTTGCCGTCGCGTGCTACACCCCGTCTTAATACTAGCGTTTCTTTCCTGTACACGAATATTAGGAGTGTTCTTCCAAAAAGTGTCGTCTTTCCTCACTCGTCGATTCTTGCTCGGCGTCATTAATCGCGTTGACTGAGACATGGCTGAACGATACCATTCCCGATTACAACATTTTTGTCAGTGGGTTGCAATTCACTAAGAGCTCCTTTCTATACAGATCAATGTTAGTTCTTCTCTAGAATGGGCATTTGTGTCCTTTAAGTGTGGAGCTAGTGACGTCATTGTTAGTGTTTTCTACCATACTCCCGATACGATACATGTGCGTTCCAATTCCGTCGAATTGTGAGTGAAATGTTTACGCGTTTTTCCAACAGCGCAATAATTATATATGCTAATTTTAACTTTCCTGGCATAAATTGGACTATGCTATCTGTCGCAATAAGCAATTTGGAGGCACATGCCTTTCTTCGGTCGTGCCTTGACTTCTTATTATCTGAACTCATTACTCAACCCGCATGGCCCTCTCTCGCTTCTGCCAGCATTCTCGATTTAATTTTAACAAACAATCCTGATGCTCCTTTTAACATAAATCATCCAGACAGGTTTTCCGATCATGACATTTTCAACGGACGCTTCGTCCTTTCCATTAACAAAGGGACTACTAGTATGAAAGTGTAATGGCATAGTGAGTTTTGATTAACTCTGAATTATTGCTTTTTTTAAAAACATATTTTGATTGAATACATGTGACACACCCGAAGAAAATTGGAATTTGTCTATAAATACTCTAATTTAATTAAAAAAAGTTTGTTCCTGACATATTCATGAAATGCAATAGCAGTGTACCGTGGTTTACAAACAACTTGGACGGCCTAACAGTAAAAGGAAACGACTCTTTAGGCGTGCTGACAAGAACAGGCAATCAGATTCATGGCTCCGATACAAAAAGTGTGACGATGAACACCAATCACTTCTTCAATTTACTCGTTGGCACTTTTACTGTCATGATCTGTCATCCATGCTAATAAATAACCCTCATAACCACCGCACCGCATCCAAAAACAAGCAATAACGCCACACCGCTATGGCGTGCGCAATGTAAACGAATCCGGCATCCTCACACTCCGGGTATCGCGTGATGTACATGTGCTGCTCAGTGGCGCCTCCTAGCAAGGTTCTAACCGCAAATACGAATGTGGCATTACTTTTTTGGTTTAAAGATAACTGAAACTCGTAAATATTTATTTCTCATTACTTATATATTCTCGATAGAGAAGAAACAAACGCGCCAGTTCGATTGGTGGTAAAAGAAAAAGAAGCCTAGAACTTCTTTTTGTCGAGGATGGCGCCGTTGTTGCGGTGGTGAGAATGCCTCCCCAAGTCGACCACAGAGTGTTGTCACCTGCCTTGCTTGGAAGCTCTTATTTGGTCACCGAGGGTCATGGCACGAACTCCCACAAGCACAGTGCATTTACTCGTCACTTTTCTCAAAGTTTTCAGTGTACCTCGCCGATTGTTTTGTTGGGGTCACAGCGCTGCACTTTGTTGGAAAGTGCAGCGCTGTGAGCTCCCCACAATGCTGGATCGGTGCAAGAAAAATTCGGTACCTCACTTATCTCGAAACTCTGATTATCTACAATTTTTTTCTAGTTTTTATAACCCATAGTTTAGGAGGGTTTGCTGTAATAGCAATTACAAGGATGCCCCGAGAATCACAAAGCACCTACCATCACAATGCCACGTCAAGCTGTGGAAGCCTCGTGAAGTGAATTCCCTTCTTTTGCTTAACTGTTAGTACCATAAATTTAGGGACACGTGTCTGGATATCATTTTTTTCTTATTTGAAGTATTAGAGAATTGAATCAATTTTCTAAATAAACTGCAATAAACAGCAAACCCTCAATGAAAAATAAACTCCAAGAAACAGCCTCAGAATTTCACTAAAAATAACCTAGAAAAACGCCGAACTTTAATAATGGTCCAACATTACAGTTGAGATGGAGAGTCCACCCCCTACACCAGCGCTCAGTGTATTATGCTCGCGCAAATCATTCCCCCAGCAGAAACCAGCATACAGACAAGCCAAACCAAACATAGCAGCCTCCCTGCGGAAGGTAGGAAAGCTACAGAAACGAGCTTGGCTGCGCAACATGCATGGCCAGCAAAGCTGAGCTACAATTACCTAGTCCCTGGAGGGGTTTTGTCCATCGAGTATACTGACGTAAAGAAATATACCGTTGTGCAGGTGGCTAGGCCTTGGAGCGGTCACCTGGCCCTTTGCGCCGTCGACATTGAAACAGCGCTGGGACTTATCCGGATTTTCTTTGGCAAACGCCAAAAATGCTGTAAGAAAGCTATAAAATTTGCAGAGTCGTTACTGCTGCACGTTACGTTCGTAGAGGCAAGAAAAAATCAAAACTTCTCCCGAGCTAATACAAAAAAATATAAAAGCTTTGATTGCTTATTTTTAAACTAAGTGCGCTTAATTCCAAGCATCTCGCTGTGCCCGCGAGCTTTCAATGATTCATTGAAAGCTGATCGATGAAGGTACTCTATGTCTATCCCGGGTGAAAGGAACCCACCGAACCCGAGACGTTATTCACGCAAAAAGTCACTTATGATTATAGGAAAATTCACATTTGAGCTTTAAAAGTGACATTGTGCGTGACTGATGCATTAGTGCGGTTGGAGTAGGAGGTGAACCAGAGTTTGGTGCCCCGTCGATCAAGAAGCGTGTGAGAACTAACTCAACTACCAAATTTATCCGAATAAGGTCACCATTTTGTTTTTCCTTCTCAGCAGGGTTCTTTCAAATTAAGACGGGGGTCCACCCCAGTACAGCCACCTAAGATAAGTGTGTGCAGAAGGGGAGCCTTCCCTCGTCAAAGAGGCCTCGAAAGGTTTAAACCCACCCACCCAATCTGACACGAGCACTGCCCACACAGCCAGGCACAGGTGGGTCAAAAGCGCAAGCCTAAGGAACAGGTTAGTGCGGTAAACAATTTTTCCTGGGGAGAGTCGTCCTTTTATAAACGATGGCAAAGTCGACAGAGTAGGGCAGGAGCGCCTCGAAGGTAGGACGGGCGTGTGGGCCTCACCTTGTACCAGAAGTTGACGGAGACGGTGTAGTCTTTGCCGGGCGCCGACTCCACCTGGTGCCACCAGTACATGGGCAGGTAGAGCACGTCCCCGGGGCCCAGCACCGTCTCCCAGCCGCGCAGGTGCGCAAATTCGGGGAACCGGCTCAGATCCGGGTCGGAGAAGTCCACCTGCGCGCCACCCCAAGCACGTGACTCCTTCTCTCGCCTCGTGTCGAGAAATGCCGTCGGGCTCAACGGCTCCAAATGCCACTTCGGTAGGAAGCCTTCGCTGATTCTTTCTAGAGACGGCTCTTTGAGCAGCAGACGGCGTCCCGTGAAGTATGAGCGAGTGTGCACACGTCTTGAGCGAACACTTGGATGGTTGTGACTACAATATTTTCACGTCGCCTCGAGAAATCGTTGCAAACAAATGCTTGCACCAGCATGGTTTTTGCGATGTAACTTGACGCAAGGGCTAACATATGAGAAACAGACAAGCGTCTTGGCGGTCTTTAGGCCGAATCGCCGCGAATCCAGGCATGTGAAGCTCGATTACTGCTTCTTTTTTTTTTTCTTCAAAATGAAAATTGTAGCAGTGCGTGCTCGTGTACTCATCACTACGTGACGCAATTTAAAGACACCAGGCTAACGGTCGTACGAGCTCCTTAACACTCTCGCGTTAAAACCTCAACGAGTATAAATACTCTGTAAGTATCCCTTTAAAGGGGCCCTGCAATCATATTCAAGTGTCTGCCTTTTTTGCAGTTTCCACGTCTCTTGGGATTTGGGCAAGCCAACGGGCACGGAGAGAGTAACTAAATATCAGTGCGTCATATTTTAACCGGACGACGCGGAAACCTCCTCCACCGACAAGGGCCACCTGCGGTACCGAAAGCGCGCGAAATGTGACGTCTTTGGTCCTGGGCTTACTACTGGTCAGAGCCGCTAAAAGCTTCTTTTAAGTCGAAATACAAAACATAAGTGGCGTGAACCGTTTCAAATATTTCTAAAAATACTTTTTGTTCACTATTTTAGATCAGAAAAGAAACAAATGCGGTTCACAATGTACGAAAACAAGAAATGACCCGTTGATATACCCACCACCAAGCGGTGGAAAAGGCGGCGCATACTAGAAAGGAGTTGTGGGATCAGGCGCCGACACAAAAAGGCCCCAGATGTACGTGGCAGCGCTGCGGTCGTATGGACTGGAGGATCCGACCGGTTCCGAAGGCCTTTGGCGAGAAGCTTTGTCTTGCGGATAGGCCGTTTCGCTGTATGGCAGCGCAAAGTGGCTTCCCTTCTGAACTGATCTTTACCCCGAGTTTGCTGTCGTTTGTGGCCAATGAAGCGTCATGCCGATTAGTGCTTAATCCCGCAGCAAATGCAATGAGAGCTGCTCTGGCTGCCTGCTGCATACAGCCTATCCAGAACACGCTTTAGTGGCGCCCTCTCGCGCCGTCGACACGGAGTGCGGCAGTCGTGAGTGCTCGATGAGCTCACTACTTCTCCTCTAGTTCACGGCCACTCTCAAGCAACCAAGGACGTCATGAGGGAGGTTAGTTTTTGCTTGCTTTTGTAATTTTAGTTTGCCTATAACCTTTAAAATAAAGAGAATTTCGAGAAAAGAAAAGTTTCACTAAGTCACTATGTTCAGTGCGCTCAGGTTCGGTGCAAATTAAAAACCAGTAAAGAAGTTCTTGCAGGGCCCCTTTAAGAGCAGAAAAATGCACTTAGGAAGAAAGGTAATGTGGGCACTCATAGGCATTTGTGCTGCATCTTGCTGAATAAAAATGACAATGTATCAACTTACATTTCTAGAAATCATTGCAAAAAATAAAACTTGCACTCTTGAGAGCAAACTACGGCCACAGATTGCCTTTTCCCTTCCAACACGCCTTCAGAGGCCATGGTGGAGAACATCCTCTACCATTCTCCCTAAATGTTTGCACGTGAGCACTTTGTCAGTAGCATCCTGATGTCAGAAAAACGCAGGGTCATGGCCAGTACCTCGACCAATGACAGAACTCAAGAAGCACATAAACCCCCACCTGCTCCGTTTTTCTCCCCACCAAAGTTGCCCGCGCAGCATCCGCTAGGGCCGACTTCTCGAGCACAGACTCTTTTTGACTCCAAATGAAGGTCGACACGCACAAGAAGCAAGTACCAGCCGACGCTCTTTTGTGTCACCAACTGACCTAGCAGTCGTGGTTGATCTCAACAATGAGAACCCAAGCAAGAGGGAAACCACTGCCTCTATGCACAGGAACACACGAGGGGAACGTTCAAAGCACGAATTTTGGCAAGATCCTAAGCCAGAAGTATGCAATGAAACTGGCCCTTCGGCGGGAGCAAGTAGACCAAAATGTGTCTCTTTGCGCAAAAGAAAGGAGGCAGGAAAAGGTGAGGGAGATATCCCCATACACAAAGCTCTGCCCCCACAGATGGCGTTCTCTTCGGTGGCTAGCAAACAACATCCTGGCTGTCACTCCTTCGTTCGTTGTTGCGCATCTGATGGCCATTCGTCGGCAAACAACAAAAACTCTTTACTCTTCCCTTTCTCAAAAAGCACAGGCAGCCATTGATACGACTAGCAGACGCCGCCGCATTCGAGTACCCTCTGCGCTCTCCAATCGGAGACTAGCGCCGCAACACCGCTCCACCCTCCGTGCGAAGAGTGGACGAATGGCTTCCCCACCTGGCTCTGGCGGTCGTGGGGGTGCCAGACCGGGTGTGGGTAGAGGCAGCCGTACTGGTCCGGGGAGAAGAGCAGGAATCGCTTGTGGCCCCGCAGGTGGGCAAAGAAGTTCTGCTGCTCGTCGTAGTGGGCGGGGGTCACGTTGCCTGCAACCGTCCAAAAGACAAGGTGGGATCGGGGGGTTTATGTGTCGAACCGACAAAGGGCATCTGGCAAGCACCAGCGAAGGACCAAACATTCATTTCCATCACCCGAGCTTCTTTCGACGCACTATGAGGCGCCTTCTCCATAAAAAGCCTCCGTCAGACTGCAGGCACCTATATACTGGGAATCGAACCCGCCAAGCGGAGACTCTTAGGCCGGTGCTTTGCCTCGGAGCCACTGAGGCAAACGCCGCGGAAACGAAGCTCGACCCAAAACCAGCGATGGCAGCTAAATGTTTATGGCACTGTCTCGGACAGCGAGTTAGGATGAAAGCATGAAACGCCTTTATTAAAGACATCACAGCCCCGCTAAACTAGGACACTAGTTGCACTGCGGGCAATGCAACTGGAGCGGAAAGCGTGCTGACATGCGACGCTGAAGCGTCGCTTGCCACGACGCAGCTGGACTGAGAGGCGAAACCAACTCGCGAACTGGCCAACTCTGCAGCAGCTACCGTTTTTTAAACGCTTTTAATGCGAAAGCATTAAATGTCTCATGGAGCAAGCTGACGTCATCAGTTTGAAGCGCGAAAACGGCTCCTAGTTTCTGCTGCGATCCTAATAGCAGCGATTCGCCTTCGGTTCCATTGGCTGGCGAGCGTCGACAGGCCGCTGCGCCATGGCGTCTGAGATCCCGAAGCGCACGCGTTCTAGTACGCAGCAGACGACAAAGGGAGCAGACAAGCAAATGACAAAGGGAGCAGACGAGCAGACGACAAAGGGAGCGGACGAGCGGCTTGCAGGCTTTTGCATTCACAACTCAAAAGAAATGCTTAGTAATACCAAATGCTGAAGTGGCTACAGTAAGAAAGTGTTTTGTGCCTTAAAAATGCATTTCTTAATTGAAGGAGGCCCAGAACGCCGATTATCGCTCGGAGGTTTGCCTTTTCCGCTAACATTGCAGTGCTGCGAGATGAGAAATAAAAAAAGACGAGGCAGTTTTTCCATATACCAAGATGAAGCAGCCTCATGACCTAAGGGCATTCACTGACAACAGATACCTTAAATCTGCATTGTTTATGTGGCTAACGAGTTGCAAAAAACATGAGGTGCCAACGAAGAATTTCGATAAACTGAGAACAACCAGACTGTTTCAGCTACCATACAATTGTGTGTAAGGGCTGCGCGCTGCGCTCGTGTAAGAGCTGCACCCCCCAAATTTAAAGAAAAATACATACAAAAAAGAAGAGTAATTATCTGCGTATTAGCTACACTCCCCCCCCCCCCTTTTTTCCCAAGGTGGACCAACCACTTGTGCAAAGAGTGCGGAAGCTCTGCATCTCCGCCATCTTTACTCCGCCCCTGCCGTCATGTGCGTGCCTCTGCTCGCCCTTTCCAACGTGTTTTAAAGCACAGATAACGCAGAGACAGGAGTAAAGTTTCGTAAAGCTGTCCTTTCATCCACGGTCTCCTTCCGCCCATGTGACAATAGCTGCTGTGAAATCGGACACCCGGGTTTCCGAAGGTCGCCGTTGGGTGTCGTGAATGTGTCTCCTGCTGGTTTATGTGAATGCTCCGTTCTGCCGGTTTATGCGGGCCCCACATCCTGAGAGCAGTGGGCAAGTTTTTGAACTGTCACTTATGCCCTGGAGTGCGGCAGACGAGCAACGCGTCGCAAATACGGCGTCGAATAGATCTGCGTATAGTGTTGGACAAAGCGTGTCGTCCAATGGTACGCTTCAGCCGCTCGACGTCGGCATCGAAACAAACGTTGAGGTGAAACTCTACAGAATGGCTAATGTGAACTCCAAAAGGCGCTTACAGGACGGCTCACAAGGACAGCTCTGGCCACTGCTGATGCCGGTAACACTCAAGCACCGGGGATACCGCAGGTTACAACGATTGAGACCGAAATAAAGGCGCTCGAGACCACTGCGTGGAATTGCAAGTACATCCATTTTTTTATGCACATTCAAAACTATTCTGTTCTTATCCATATACTATAGGCTGGACCTAAAAAATGAACCCCGAAGTTTGAAGAAAAAACAAGTGTGGTCCTTACACAGATTTATATGGTATACTTTACTGGTGTCTTTGTTTGAGTGTATTCTGGAAAGTGTCAAACATTCTGGTGCTAAAATAGTTGTGCTTAACAAAAAAAAAAAATCACTGGGATTTTTTTATGCTTTAAAACTAATGGTGAATTCCACTGGTAGATCCAAAGCGCTTTCCAAAATCCGCGAGGGAGGCAAAATTCCGCTCCCTTCAACCCGGACTCGCATTTTTGGAGCAACCTACCGATTCGCCCGAGAAGGTTGGCCAATTCAAAATGGCCGCTGCTCGAACTTGACAAGCCGACCAAGGCCTCAGCCAACTGATCTTTCCGACGAGCAGTGACAACTGTGACGGCTCACCTGCAGAAATAACACGCGACACTGGCCGGACGAAAATGTCCGTACCCTCGAGCCTGTGTCACAAATAACGAGGAAGACGTCCGCGTTCATCACCGTCCCGTACCTTTCGGCCGCCTCCAAGTGGAGGGGCACGCACAGCGATCACCACTGGAAATCAAATTGCTGGCAAGACTTTAATAAACACAAAGAGGTAACAAACCATCACTTGCACGGCCGTTGCCTAATCTGTTTTTGCTTTATTGCCCGAGGGAGTGAGTAGGCACTTCCTTGACTGAAAAGAACCCCCACTACAGGAGCTGGCGTGGGCAGAACCAGTAGACTTCCCATAGATTAACAAGCTTTCGTCACCACACTAAAGAAAAAAGAAAGCTCCAGAATTTGGGTATAACAAAGTCGACGCGATTTCTGAATATGCTTGCTATAGCCATACTTTACTATAAGTGGAATATCCGCAAAAGTCACGCTTTTTTGCGCACACTACATATCGTTGCCACGCAGCATATAGCATAGGCTTTTGTAGTATAGGCTTTTGTAGCAGGTGCTGTTCTGTCTTTGCATATTTGAAGTGCAAAGAAGCCACCATAAGGCCACGTTTCACTTCATTACAATAGAAGTTAAGAGTGCGCATTGTAACTCTATTCGGATGATGTTGTAACAAAACCGAAAAGCGGGTAGTATCTCAATATCCAGAACTCTCCAGTGACTCTCGTTAGCCATGCAAAGCACGCGATAGAAAAGCACGCAGAATGTTGAAGTTCGGAACATGCCTGCAAGAGATACAGCAAGGGTCACTGTCGCAGACTCCACGAGGTACGTGATCGAAGCGCGCGCTGTGGCGCTGTCTCGGCAACGAGAGTCTCCCTTCAACAATAAAGCTAAACAACAACTCGCACGCGTCCTCCGCCTCGCGCCGTCTGCTCGTGCTCGGGGTCTTGCCCAGCCATATCAAATGGAACTCGATCAGCGAGGCAAAAACAAACAAAATTCTTTAGAGCGAGTCTTTATTGTGGATGAAAGTAGCTTTCGTTGTTCGACTGCGCTCGGCGTGTCTAAGCTGTCTTTACAATTTGCGCTTCAATCGCTTCAATTGTGTCCAACTGCAGGAAGAGGCCGCCGCATCCAACAGAGGTGTCAACGAAGTAAGCTGGGATCGCGTCAACTGCCACCACAGCCTCTCCGGCTGACGCCGACCTCGTAGCAGGTTCGTTATCCTCGTCCCTCTCTCTCGCAGGTTCTGCGAGCTAGTGATGTTGCAACCCAACACCCGGCACGCGAGATGGCCATCGCGTAGCATGCGACGCGGCGTAGCCAAACTCGTCGACAGCGGAGTTGCGTAATTTTTTCCGGAAAAGCTAGCTCGGTGCCGGAGTGTGCCGTGAGAAGTCGGCAAACACGTTTTACTTACTCTTGGGATTCTAGAACACTCTTTTCTAGTAATATTCGCAAAAAATAATCTCGGAGCTTCGAGGTTTTTCTTATGTCCGCAGTGCCACCTCCACTTTGTTCGTTAAAAACGGGATAAAATTACACCAAAAGTGTACCAGAGGGGAGCGTACGACAAACATTCGTTCGTTATATCCAATATTTGCTATACTCTAATTGGTTATACGTGGGTTCGAGTGCATTTGATTCTAGCGCCGAAAATGGAGTGCTGCAGTGCTTGCGATGCACGCAAACTTCTGGCGAGCTCATCTTGCACAAAAATAGATAAGAGTTCGAAGCAATTATTCGGGCCTCCAACGCTGCGCCCAGACAATGAGACAACACCATTCTGTCGCATCAACCAGGAAGTCAACAAACCCTGGTTCCATGGGTTGAAATGCGCCACGAGAGATCCGAAGAAGCTCTACGCTCACCGACAATGGCTCTAGTCAATACCGGCACAAAGAAGAACATAGAATGGGATGAAAAGACGGGCCAGTTAGTAGAGGCAGGGGTGGAACTCGCGAAATGTACTTGGGAGCAGCCACGGGAGCAGCTGAAACAGCTGTTTCGGAGCAGGTTGGGAGCAGCTAAGACTACCTTCTGGAGCAGGCTAGGAGCAGCTCAGGTCAGTTTTCATTGCATTTTGGCTAGTGTCTTAGACAAGCACGGGAGCAGTTTCATTTGTGCTTAGCAGCACGGATGAACATGAGTGGTCAGGGACCTAGGTAGATGGGATGACGGTGTAACAGATGCAAAAACTTGAAACTTTGTGAGCCTTAATGAGAACCAAAAAGCAAGTGCCATATGATTCTGAAGATAGTGTTCTTGATAGTTTCTGAGTGGCTTTCAGCTGCTCGAAATGCAAACCAGCACTGCTTATCGCACAACGTACACGTGCTCAACATAGTAATTATACGTGCGAACCTCTTGACGTGCGTAAGCAACGGATATGCAGTTGCACGGAGGAACAGGGCAACAAGTTTTGAGTTTATCCTATTGTGCAACTCAATATCGAAGCAGCAGACTACGATTAAAACAGAGTTATCGTGTTCAAAGCGATAAGCAGGAGCAAGGTTAACGTACACCGAGCAGATCTACCGCTCGCGTGAGAGCTGCTGGCCGGCAAGGTTTCGGATCGGACCGCGTTTCAGGTGTATCAAATCACGATTTACCTCGCGGGAATGCGGTTCCAACTTCTAACAATGAAGTATTAAAAGGAATCTTTTGCTCATTTGTTTTCAACTGGCCGACGTCCGGATCCCGGGCCGCAGAGCCTCAGGCAATCTGACGCCTAACGACTCGACCTCACCTTGGCCGACTTGCTTAAACGCTTATGGTTGAAGAATAACAACCCAGTCGCAGGTAATGTAGCCCTTGGAATGCCACCCCCCCCCCCCCCCCCCCCCAGTTTTTTCGCACGCTTCCGACTCGGGATACACAGAGAGAATAAGCAGAACAAAGGATTGCAAGGCCGACCAAGCTAAACACGCTCATTGTTGCCAATCGAGTCAATAGAAGCCAAAACCAAGACAAAATACAATTTTTTTTTTTGGTTTTGCAATTTGATGCATAATGGCACGAGGTATTGACTGTGGCACAGTTTCTGTAACATGGTGCAGGATGGCGCAGACAAATGCGTCTGGCGCAAAATAACGGAAATGGCGCAGCCGTTCGAGCCCCGTAGACGCCTTCCGAGTCCGCGTTTCCTGGCACTTTTAGTATTCTCGAAGAGGTCATACACTAAAACAAGGAGAACAAAAAAAAAAAGACATCTGATGCTTGCTACAACGTAAAGACCGGGGCAGGACCGGCACCAAGGGGCCCGAGATTGCTCACCTCCGGTGCCCACGAGCAGCAGATTGGAGGTGAGGGGGCCCCAGCCATTGTGCTTCTGCTGCCGGTTCACCCAGTCCCAGTTGAAGCGCAGGAAGTCCAGCATGATGCTCTGCCCCACCGTCTCGTTCAGCATCTGCTGCAGGTAGTAGTACCTGTCCGGGCAGACACATCAGGGGGCGGGATAGGGCGTCCGGCGGACCACCGGTGCCAAGAGACAGCCGTCGCTTCTGACCAAGCTTGCCCAAGCGTCGTCCATGGAATGCATCCAGGTTTATCTATGTTTTTGTGGCAATAACTATGTTTCTGCTCTAGCATGTTTCGCCTCGCCGCATACCACAATGTATGCTACCACCCCGTTCGACCATCCAGCGCTCCACACGACTTCGCGCTCTGTGCACTGCTCCGCCCCACCAAAAGGTCGTGCGACACCCCCGAAGCTACGAATTGGGCCCGGTAGCTCGCAGCGTCCAGTCCTTCATGAGGTGATACAGTTTCACTTTCTTAGGTTAAATTCGAACAATTATTAGAAAGCGCATACGGCGACGGATGAAAATAAATGCCGACGGATGGGATACAAATGAAAGGGAGGATCGAGGGGAAGAGAAAATTTCAAGTAGCATTTTGAGTATGAAAAGGTTTTTTTTTATTTATATTTACCGTCAGCCTCGCAGGGAAGAACCGGTACCCAGTGGCGTAGGCAGAGGGGGGGTTTGGGGGGTCGAAACACCTCCCGAAATGCCAAAGCTACCCCCCCCCCCCCCCCCCAACGGTGCCCGCTCGCTCCCCTGCTCACGCAGTCGGCTTTGCACGAGGCACGAAGCAACGGGGGACGCACACCTTTTGTGATCAGAATCACGTGCTTTCGACTAGAAATTACCGCGGATAAAAAGGTAACTGTGACTAGTGATATCAGAATGCAATTTACAGATTCTCTTTATCATCTCATTTATGCCAAGCACTTACACATCAGAATGAAGCCACCTGCGTTCACGGAAAAAAAATATCCCGGACGTCCTCCGCTTGAACTTCAATGTCGCGGCGACTATTCAAAAACGCTATACTTCATTTCAGCTTAGGTCCAGACCACGGTGTAAGATACACTCTTTAGGTGAGGACACGGCGGGGCTGAACGCGCGGCGCGAGGAATCAGATAGTGCTCGTTCGACGGGCATCCGAAAGGCTGCATTAGGGTGCCTCAATGTCCTTCTGTTAAGGGTGATGCCACCCTTTGTAATACCCGATGCCGACAGCACGCGCTCACGGGTAAAATACAAAGAAATTGACGAAAACAAAATGTCGCCATAGCACAGTCAGCGCCACAAACGCGTGCAGGGACACGCTCTTTGACGCGCGTCTGAACAAAAAAGAAAAATAAATGAGTGGGACAAAATGGCGAGATGTCTCCACCCTAAGCAAAGCGCACATGAAGGCACCCTAGGCTGCATTATTCCGCGGCCACCGTGCCCGCGGCTGACATTGTCGCCGGTGGCCAAAAAGCGAAACTGTGTGAGAGCGAGAAAAGTTATCTCGTTGCCATGACACCCCGGTACACCGTGGTCTTTCTGCACGAGCGACAACTTCGCTGGAGCTCTGCGCGTGTGGAGGAGGAGGCGGCACGTGCCGTCGTTGCCGTGCCCACGGGTCGACGAATCGCCTGCCGGAGCCGCTTGAAACAATGGTGAGAGAGAGTGAAGAGCAAACTTTATCGGGCACGTCGCGAGGAGCGTGCTGTCCTCACCTGAAGAGTATTATCTTGCAGGGTGGTCCAGACGTAGCCGATGCTACAAGCACGAGCTCCGGGCTTGCAGCGTCCCTGCCAAGCACACGCGCTCGTGCAGTGCAAGCACTGTTCACGGCCACGTGTTCACGCCTGTAGCATCGGCTGCGTCTGGAATTAAGCTGAAACAAAGTATAGACCGAGCAGTCGCTCACTCGAAGTGGACGCTCTCAGGTATGTTTTCAACCGTCGTAGTGAAGAGAACGAGCGCTCAGCTTCTGCCGTTGTTGAAGGGGTCATGAAACGATTTTCCTACATCTTCCTCCTTAGCTTTAATCCTCAACTCAGATGCGAATTGTGAAATCACGTGGTCGTGACATTCCTTCGGCACCGGTGCGATGACTCCTAGCTTCCACCGTGCTTTTTATGCACATCATAGAACTTGTCATTCCCTAGTGACAATAAGTTCTGTCAGGGCACTCATTGGCCACGAACGCGAATCCAAACATTCGTCGAAGGATTGTTGACGAGCGCATACCTCCGAGTGACGCAGTTCTCATGTCCAATGCGTGAGCTGGGCTCTGCTGACGTCAGTTTGGCGCCGGTGACGCGCTTTTGGAACCGCGGATGTATTATAGTGAAAAGGCGGACAGCTTTTGAAGGCAAGAAGGTACAAAATAGTCCGCTATATTTTCAAATGCTCGTACCGAAAACCTGGCTTTTGACTTTCTAGACTCTTTCTTTTGGCCAACTAAACGATATGCGATTACTAAAGTCCCAATTTAAAATCATTCATCCCAACCCAAAATTCGTTTCATGGCCCCTTTAAGGGAAGGCACTACCCATAAGAAAAATAATTTCTGCAAAAAAAGTTGATTTTGTGAAATGACATGTTTAGATCCACCAGCATCTCGAGAGCATTCCCAGAAAGTTTAATTAGTTCACATTGCATTGTTAATTTTTTTTTTTTTTTTTATAAATTAATTTTTATTTACTAAAGCAAAAGAAAAGGTAGGGTTTGGAGCACTTTGAATGCATTTTTCTCCATTCCACTTTTAGTATAAATTCCATTTTAGTCAATCTATCGTTTGATAATGGTAACACCAGGGAAGGCCAGTTCTTCACTTTTCCTGACTGAAATTTAATAAGGAATGCGGCTATGGAACTTTTTTGTCCCTTTACAGGTGTCTTTTATAAAAAAAATGTTGACTATTTGTCGAAGACACAGAAGACCAAAAAGTTGACCAATTTTGCAGAAGAGACAATTTATAAAAGTAAATGACTTTTTACAAAAATCTTTTCCTAGCCGCACCCCCTAGGCATTCTGCTACATATCTAGCGAATAAAAACCTTGAATATTGTGATAGTTTTCCGACGATAGATTAACTAAACAATGTAGGCGTGTTGCTGATAGAAGCTGCTCTAATTTGCTTCCCATTTAACCAACCGACAAACCCGAAATTTTGTTATGCACCCTCTAGCATGACCACCAGAGTATACCCTGTTAATTTCATTAATTTTAAGCCAAGCGTTCAAAAGTTGACCCTCCCAGGGGGTGTGTCCCCTTAAGGGCAGAGCCACTAGAATCTTGAGGAGACAATGGACGTTCTGAAATAGTGCCTCCGGACAGAGGGCGACCGCCTGTACACCGCAGACGTGACGGGCGCTTCACGTTTCTCCCTGTTGCAATGGACGCCTAAAATTTCCCTATTTTTGGCGAAGTTCCCCTCACTTCGCGAAAGTCGTCGCTCACGGATGCGATGAAGTCCGTCTTGCTTTCTGCTTTGTATGTCAAGGTGGCATCCGACGCAAATCCTTATTACTAGTAGCTTAATCTCTTCGTTGCAAGGAACATCAGAAACTTGAAGAGACAAGCCTTCTTATTCTCACTACGCCCAGGCGCAAGGTTAGTCAAGCTCCTTTCCACGTTCGGCGAGTAGTTTCTTTGTGGTGCGTCATGTCATTTCTCCGAGTGACAGAACGACGAGTTCGGACTGATGACTTTTCCCTACCCCGAGGATATGCTGCTGCTGCCTTTGGATCATGCTGCAAGATAAAACGGCCTATCAAAGATAACGCTCGCTTTCCTTCGGCATCTGCTTCTGTAGCACGAATTTGTTAAACCTTTAATAGATAATAGATTTTGTTCTTGTGATTGTTCAGAATCACCTTCGCCCTAAATATGGGCCCCTGGTGTTTGTGCGTGGCCGGTTGCTCCAAGTTTTCTGTGTCGAAAAAAGATTTTTTTTTCTGTTTAATTTTTTTTTTTTTTTTGTGAAAGTATAGCTATTTTTGTGTTTTGTCTGGCCTTCACGCGTTGGTATTGCGGTGCTACTTCGAAAAGCGAAGGGAGTTTTGTGTTGTGAGAAAGCGTTTAAAGTTGGTGCGTCGCAATTACGACGACAGTAGAACAGTGAGCCACCCCGCCCGAATTCCTGTAAATGAAGCCTGCTCCGTTTCTAAAAATGACAATTCCAGCGTTACCCGTTTTATCTTAACAGCGTCTCCCTAATCTTTGCTTGAGCGTCCGTGTCGGCGAGCTCACCCTCCGTCATTGACGGCAAGGGGGGGGGGGGGGACATGTCGTTGAACCCTTCCCGAAATAAAATCCTGGCTACGCCACTGCCGGTACCACCTAGAAGAAGACGAGGTGTCATGGTTAGGGGATCCCCGCCCCAGCGGCAAACATGCCGAAATTCAACGACAGCATGCAGTAAGGGGGAAGACGTGCGGGTCTCTACGTCGCTGAGCCTTAGCATCGCACTCATGCGACACTTCCAGGTGCGCTCGCAGCGACGCGGACAAGCTGGCACCGTATGGATACACCAGTAATGACCAAGGGGGAAAGGCGCAGGGCCTGTCTTCCAGGTGCTATCGGAATAAACGCGCCTCGCTGAATTACAAAACGATAACATATAGGTGCCTTCATGCCAGCTCAGGGAGGGTTTTAAAGGTCAAGTTCAATTTTTAATATAAGAAATATTTGCTTCAGGCCCGGTATATTCACCATTAGAGTGGACGTGGTGCGTCCTCGTTAAAAGCAGTCTTTTTTTGTTATTTTTGTACATTGTAACTGTTTTATTAACTCTTTAGTCAAATCAACTTGTAACTGTAGCTGCGTTGCTCCGAAAGAAGTGGCATTAAAGATTTCTTAGAAGATATATTTGTCACAATCGCTCGGGATCGCAAACAAGGGTTGAGGCATCCGCCGAGAGAAGAGATGTATTAAGGTGGCGATGCAAGCGAGTTGGTTCATGACTGCTGAAATTGGAAAACAGCGCGCAAAAAGACGAAGACGACGAGAGAAGAGCACAGGACAAGCGCTGACTATCAACTGAAGTGGAAAGGAGCTTGACTAACCTGGCGCGGGGCACTGCGTCAGCCAACCTTCTGTTTATCTTCACAAAAAAGAGATAGATTTTATAGATGACTGGTGAGCGACACGCCATTGGTTGTTTCGGCGTTGGTTGACTGTGTGGTGTTTTCTTGCTTGTCCTGTGCTCTTCTCTCGTCGTCTTCGTCTTTTTGCGCGCTGTTTTCCAATTTCAGGAGAAGAGATGACCTGCAGCCTGGCAACGGTGGATGATGACCGACTGTGAGTGGCTGCGCTCATCGGCGTTGATTTGGTGTGGCTGATCAACGCTGCCCATCAAACCTGGTGGGGCCTACGAAGTTTTTTCGTCCGAACGCAGCGGGCACCTTTCGCGGAGGACGGCTACAATAATAGATGCCCGTAAGCTCGCGGCATTTTCCGAGCTCCTTTACCTCGTCCTTTTTACCACTGAGCCTACTTTTCCGTCCAAACTTCCGAAAACTTCCAAATGCGCTATCGAGAGGGTCCGACTCTCGATGGGCCCGTTTGCCCCTCCCTCGAGTCCTACGCTGCCCCTCTCCTTCCTCGTGCCACCTACTCGTTGCCGCCCTTCTCCGCTTTCCGGCTCCCGTCGTTGGAAAAAGGAGAATTCACTCGAAACTCCCATTTTCTGTTTTCCAGCGTCGTTCTACTGAGCCGAGACAATGCACACACTGCAGTCCCCGACAACATGAGAATGGCAGTTAGGAGCTTCGGTTGTCCTGCTTCCTGCGCAAGCTTCCACCATTCGACGACGCTTGGACATGTCGTGCACCATGACCTCCGCATGCAGCCAAAGCACGGCGGAGATCACGGACCGCCTGCTGGAGGCCAGGCGTTCCAAAGACACCCCCTGCCTTTCTCACTCTGTTGGCGACTGTAGTGGGGCACCCACACAATGGGCAAATTCGTGAGAATACTGCCACGGACGCACCTGACCAAGTAGGCAGCGCGCCTGTGGCTTAACTGTTATTACGCTTGTGTTCCACGCAGAAGGCCAGGGTTTGAGTCTTAGCCGTTTCTACACATTTTTGTTAACGCGTTAATGTGATGTTCTGGTAAATTCGAGAACCGTCTTGCTGATTCGAGGTTAAAATGTTCTACGCATCGAACCTTCTACGCCGAATGTTCCAGAAGCTCACGCGTGTACAAAAGGGGCTCCGCGTGACAAGCCGGAGTCAGTTTTCACCCCGGCGTTCGACTCTGCTGTCACGCCGACTTCGGCACCCGTGACGCTCTGCTTTCTTCGGTTTCCTTTTTATTTTTGGGCACAAGTTCACCCCTTTAAACGTTTCAGTCTCCCCAGTTATTCATTGTTTCACCTTGTCATTCAAGACAATATGTCGGGAGAGCGTAAATCAAGGCTTTAGGAACGTGGAGACTCAGAGCACGAGTCTGCCAAAAATCATCTGGTGGCCATTTCGAGTATGACACAAATGAACCAGGGTTGACCACTTTTGCTGAATATAAAAAGATTTCTTACGAGAGACGGCGTTTCAGGTTCGCCAGGTTCCAAAATTACCGTCCGTCATTGACCCACAGTGCAGGATGTTAAATGCTTTCTCTAAGGCAGTGGTTCTCAAACAGGATGTTAAATGCTTTCTCTAAGGCAGTGGTTCTCAAATGGGGGGTATGTGGAACCCTGGGGTCCGCAAAAGCATTCTAGGGGTCTGCAAAGCCCCGCCTCATCGGTGAAACCCAGCAATAAAAGTTGTATATTTTCTTCTTAAGATTAAAAACTGTTCCAATATTACTGTGGTAGCGTTATTAAGCTACTCATTGCACATTTCAGTCTATCTGGAGGCCTCCGCTCACTGTGCTTACACCCTATTGTAAAGCGTGTATGCGGAGCTGCAGTATGCACTCCCCTCCCCATTTACACCCTCTTCAAAGAACGACCTTGAGGTTGTTAGGTCCTTCGACCTTGAGGTCATTAGAGGTGGTCCTAGACGGCGTCGAATCACCTAGGACGTCGTCCCTGAGGTTGTCCTAGAGATTCTCCTTGAGATCACCCTAGAGCTTGTCCTAAAAGTTGTACTAGACGTCTTTGACGTCGCCCTCAATGTCTTCCTAGAGGTCGTCCTTGAGGTCGCCCTAGAGGTCGTCTTCAAGGTCCTTCTAGATGTCGTCTTTGATGTCGTCCTTGACAACGTCAAGGATGGCCTCCAGGACGACGTTAAGAACGACGTCTAGGATGATGGACGACCTTTAGGGTGATCTCAAGGACAACAAGGATTTAGCGTCGTCCTAGAGGCTAAATTTAGGGGCGAGTTTCCTCGCTAAATTTGGCGGTGTGCAACAATAAATGCTATTGCATTTATAGATAATCACCCCTGTGGTTGCAAAGAATTTGCCTCAACCCTCAATTTGCTGCACTGTAATTTTTTTTACATTACAGCGCTGCTGAGTTGTTTGCGACAGAAGGGAAACAGGTGCTTACAATGCATTTTACATAATGTCATGACCTTGACAACGTAGACCCTTCAGCTAATTTGCGGATTGTACAATGTCTATTACATACTTGCCTCTTTTCACCATGCAGCGATTTAAACTGGATTGCATTGCGGGCCATTGCTTGAAGTCCGACATTTCAATATGTTCCAGCAGGCCACTAGTGTACGCAAAGCTATCAACAAAGTGGTTCCAAACAGGTTTTCCCATTTCAACCAACATTGTGTGAAACGTTCGAAATCTCTAAATTGCATGCAGGCCGAACAGAAAAAGTACTTCAACACGTCTTTCGGTGAGTTTTTTCTCGTGTATGTTAATGAAAGAAGTCTACTTCACACAAGCCCTTAGTTATACACATTTATTAAATGCTTATCGTAATTAACCTATACCTTTCCCTCCCCTTCACCATAAATGGGGTCCTCCATCATCTCCACCGATCTACAAGGGGTCTGCAAAACATCAATAGTTGGCAACCTCTGCTATAAGAGCTGGGATTTCATTTCTGGGAACACTAGACTGAGAGATCACGTGTGTTTGTTCGTCGCTGCTCAATGATTAAATATAGCGGGAGAACCCCTGAGCTGGTGCATAATAATACGCCAATTCAATCAAGGAAGAATCGGCGCGTAAACAATGCCGCACGCGGGCAGATTGAGAGCACCACTCGACAAACGTCTAAAGAGGTGCGAGGGATCCCAAATTTTCTTGCACTACGTCTCCTTTGACAGCAGCCAGAAAGAAAGCAGTTTTTTGTATCCAAGCTTGTTTTCTCTTTTCACCGCTCAAAAGTTGCATTCCATAAGAGGGCAGACGACTGCACATCATGCGCGAGGACCGCCAGAGGCTTGCGAAAGCGACTCACTTGTTGTGGCCTGCGCTACGTAGCCTCTGGGCGAAGGTACCGATCTTCCACTCGTGCCTAAGCGTCGGGGCCCTGAAGTCGGTCAGCCGGTGGTCCCTGACCTTAGTCTCGTCGTAATACTTGAAGTAAGGCGTGTCCGACTGGTACACCGTGCAAGAGCCCTCGCCCAGGTGCTCGCTCAGGTAGTCCAGGTCCCACTTGAGCGCAGGTGCCACCAAGCCCGTGTCGGTCAGCACCACGGGCATCTGCGCGGGGACAGCCTAGTTACCTAAAGTCGCAACGTCACGTGCGAGTGGTCAGTTCTCGCACGCGCTTGACACCTCCTACCGACATAGTTCTGCCCTTTCCAGATGCTATAACATCCTCATTTAGGCAGGGGCGGATTTTAAGGGGGGGAGGGGGGAATTGGGGGGGGGGGGGGGGGGGGCAAAAAAATCTAAAGTAGCATAAACAGGGCTCCTGTTGCGCATTTTGTTTTAGCCGCTGCAGAACCACCCTGTGCCGATGGCCCCTAGATGTGCGCCGCTGCGCCGACTTATTGGCTCCAAGCTGCACTTTGAAACCGCCGCCGCGGACCTCAGTCTCGGCTAAAGCGACGGAGTAACTCTCCAAACTCAGAGAACAAGTGTGCCTGCTAGTGTGTGATCTACCCTATTTTGAACCCTCGTTCTTACCACCTGGCAGGCCGGTAGTCGGTTTTGTTTCGGGGAGGTCCACCCATGTCAAACTGCTCCCAGAAGGGGGTGGGGGGGGGGGGGGGGGTTGAATTTGTTTGGGGGAGGGCGGCCGCACCCGTCGCCCCCCCGTTGGATTTGCCCCTGCATTTAGGCTACTGTATGTTGATGGTGTGAACATGAACCAAAGAGATTTCAGTTTCAATATCTGAATACACATCGCCGTAAAACATGCTTCTCAAACTTTGAAAACAAGCAATCGAAGCAAGCATTTAGCAATGTTGCACACATTCTTGAACTGCTGGTATCTCACATTAAACATTCTCATTTGCGTGACAGTGATGTTCCGTGAGAAGTTTAACCTCTCAACTTCATAGTTGACGATGCATAATAAATAAAAAGGCGGTTGTTGGCCAGCTAGTGGAACCTGCAGCAAAGGAAACTCGCCAGTGCCCCTCCTCCTTTGCGCTCTATCACGTGATTCCCACGAGTGATCGCACAAGCGAGGTAGTGCAACACCTCCGAGGTAACAAGGCTGGAAGGCTCAACTTTCAAAATCACCCAAAGAGGCAAATGCCGGGCATGGATCAGATGCGAGCATTGACAGAGGCTCGCATCCTCTCCGATTGACAAGTCTCATTTGAGAAGTGACTCCCAAGTCTCATTTGAGAGGTGACTCGGAGCTCCAGTCCAATCAGTGTCCGGCATTTGCCTTTTCAGGTGACATTGATAGAATTCATTTTTTGTTATATCACCATTACCTTTTTATTTCTGTGCCCAGAAACAATTGTCTTTCATGTGGCACATCATAGTCAAATATAAAGCATGCTCAAATAAATAAAGTGCACATACATATAAATACATGTAAAGGAGGTGTTCGATAGAGGGACAACCAACAAAACAGGATGCCTTGTGGAAGTCAGGTGGGTCACATAATCTCTCTAAACATTTCTTTTAAGTTCTTTGTATACACAGAATCAACCTATTTAGATGCACACATACTATAGCATGTTACAAATTAAGAAAAGCCTGACAGTTTCGGTAGGAATGAGTTCATCGGACATTTCATTGACAGCCCAGATTAGCTTTTATCTGTATTAAGCAGCATCGGACTGTTACCACAAACAGGTGTGTACGGGTGGGTAAGGTGGGTTAACATTTTTGTAATGAGCCGCCGCAGACTGTCGCCGCAGAGCGGCGTAAACAGGGCGGCCGGATGGGTTAACATGCACCCCAGTGTGACACGCATGACGAAATATACGTACAGCAGGTAATTCGCATCACGAGTGTCGATTAAACGTATGTCCATGAAACATGTGTTCATGAAAAGTTGTCCACGAAACGTAATTTCACGAAACGAGTTTCAACAGAACGATAGGAACCACGACAAAATCCTCCCGAAAAGTGCTCCTCTTTCCACTGGGGGTGAATGCTGGAGAGGAGAAAACGACCAACCATGGCGAGCAGCGAGGTTTGGGCAAGGGGCTTGCCCTTTTTTCACCTGCGAGGTTCCAGCTGGTTCGGGCAAGCAAACAAAGAGAAGAATCGAATGGCACCGTTTGAAATGCACGCGGGCAATTCATGAACAAAAAGTCGCACCACAAGAACACGGCACCCAGCTCCGAAATTAAATTTCACGTTCCGTTTGCTCTAGGACAAACTGGGCATCGGAGTTCATTTTGAGATGATGCACAAAATGTAATTGGTGACGGGAGCCTTGTTTGACTTCTCACTCGGAACATAGACGTCCTATGGTAACTTCTGGCCAATCAGAGGTAGTATAGCTCGGAGGCACGATCATTCAAAACAAAGATAGAAGGTTAAGTTACGCAGGAAGCGAACAGGAGGTTTGATGGCACGTCATTTCGGACTCAAATATTAAATCTCGCACTGACGGAGCAAACGGTTCGTTCGCCGTCAAACAGCGTACGAAAGTGTGCAAACAGTTCGTTGACAATTGCAAATTTGTACCATGTTTGCAATCAGCCTGTCAGCTTCAGGGTCGGTGTGGCTGAGCCGTGGCACCGCTTCCAAAGGGATCCCATAATCTTGGAAATCGAGCGACGAACAGCCAGTACATCCTTCGCATTCAGACTGCGCCATATTCGCTCTCGGGGAAGCGCTGTTGCCAAACCAGCCAAACGTCCGAACGCCCATCCTGGCCAAACCAACGTTATTGCCTTATTGTCCAAACCACCAAACTCAGCGTCACAAAAAATACACCACGAATGCCTGTCATATGCCTGTAGCCAGCCTGTAAATCGGCATGCATACTAATCCCTTACATCTGTCCATAATAATTGTTTATGTATTGACATGTCGCTTACTAGCGGAAAAAACAAACATCCAAATGAAAGAAAAAAAGATTTGTTTAAAGGCAGTGTCTGCGTCAACGGTCTGCGTCGACCCGGTGTAGGACGCCGATCTCACTACCCCTCTGCTTCGACTACGGTAGTGGTTATGGCGTACGCCAAAATCAATACCGTAGTCATTTCGGCGTACGCCATAGTCAATACCGTAGTCTTTTTCGCATACCCCAAACACACTACCCTTACGCCAAATTCAATACCTTGAATAACGTCGGTTCAGCAGGGGTTGAGCCAGTTGAGCTCCGCATTCCGCTAAAACTGGCGGAAGTAACTTTCTGCAGCAAAATACCCTGATTGTTTGTTCACCATAGTTTGTTGTTGTTTGTATGAGCAGCGGAACGCGCGCGGCAGGCGTTGTTAATTTTGATTAGCGTTGATACGGCTGACGGCACAAGCAAGGAAGCTTGGAGTGATTCTGTGTGAATGTGATTTGACATCGCTTCTTTCTGTTTCTTCGATCGTGGTGCAAATGCAGGTGCCCGACTCCCGAACGATTCGAAGGCAAGAGTGGTAGCCCGCCTGTCCGCTGGTCTCAATCGCATGCACTGTCGTCATTTTAGGCACATCGGAAGAAAATAAGACGCTCACTATTTTAAATAGCGTGCGATCGGCCTGTCTAGGTTCTGGCGACACCGTTTCAGGCTGTATATGAGAAAATTTAGCCACTACAGTACGACTGCTAGCCTGGGGTATGTGCCTCACAACAGATCGAAACGCGGTGGGGGTGGGGATCCCTGGCAGCGGGACCTTTCGCTGTACGAGCTGCGGTGCGCTAACACACTCGACCTTCGATACCCCCTTGGGTCACAGCGCTTGCTGAAAGAAGTTTGGATCGTTTTACGCAGATTTTGCAGTGCGTACGAGACGCACAACTGCTACGTACTACGTCCTAGATGCCCAAACTGAGGCTCGCTACTTGTGCGCGGCTCTCGTGATCTGGAGAACAGTACGCTCGCCATGAAAATGTTGCAGTGAGAATTAAGTACGGAAAAGTAATACTATAAAAGTAGAGTATTTAAAACTGGCTTGCATTGTCACTGAACATATGAAAACAAAACTGATTAGGAATGCCAATCAGACAATCAGATCGGGTAGGAATGTGATATAATGTGCTCAAGTTATGTGTGAAGTTGCGTCAGCGCAGGAATTCAAACTTGTTGGCCCCACCCCCGCTCCTAAATTCTTCCAATGTTGCTGGCAGTTTTTTTTTTTTTTTTTTTTTTTTTTTTTATTTATCATTATTGTAACTTCAAAGGTCCCAACAGGGGCATTACATAAGGAGCGGGGGGGGGGGGGGGGGGAGGGGGGGGAGGGGGAAGGGAAGGGAAGTACATAAAAAGTACATAAGATCAACATATGAACAGACAGGTGGCTGGCACCTACAGTGCTGGTGAGTAATATAAACAGTGAGAACAAGTGTGTGTGAAATAAAACTGGTACATAAATACACTATATAGTCAGTTACAGGTTAAGAAGGTAGCGGCAAATGCCCCTCAAAGGGAATCAGATATCCCTCCGCCACCTCAGCATCCAATAGCGTCCCACCGTTTCCGTGACGTCGCGGTCAACGCGCGAGGAGGGTCTTGCCTTTCTGTACATATTTGCTTTATCTTTCAACTTTGACTTAGCATTGTGGAAGCCACGAGAGGGAGATTAGAGTTCTCCCCCACCGACGGAAACAAATACGACTTTCGAAGATTAGCTTCCCCCCCCGATGGATACAAAGGCTGCTTTCAGGGGCTTGGTTCCCTCTCCGATGAATACAATGGTCGCTTTCTTAAAAAGTGGGATCGGAGACAAGTGGGAATCCATTCAAGCGGAACAAGGAGCGTTGCTAGTGAACTCTTCTTTCGACTGCGGAGAGATTTGAAACGGGCGCATCACACTTGTGGGAGGAGCTTCTCCTACCTTCTTGACTTGTAACCGACTATAGCTAAAAGAGTAATCGAAGCATTGTGGAACAAGACGGGGTCACCTATTGCCGGGCAGAACCAGGGTAATCACCGACTTGCACCAAGCATACCAGAGCTTCCAGTCAGGCTTGGTGTCCTGAAAAGCGCTGCAGGTGCTCAAAAACAAAAGACCCCCAAAGGAGCCCACAGAATTTGAATGGGTACCTGCCCACTCCGTGGTAGAGGGCAACAAACTTGCTCACCAGCAGGCCTGCGCGCTGACTTACCGGGCCACAGCCATGGAAGAGGTACAGGACCAACCCATGGTGACCTAAAAGGAAATACTAGTCGCACTCTACTGCAAGGATAGGCGAAGACTGCCAGCCCCGCATCCTAAGTTAACGCTGGAGGAACAGGTAGCGTATAGGCAAATTCAGTCGGGGTCCTTCCCCCACCCCTTTTACTCAGTCGCATATGTTCCCCACTCAATACAGTGGGAACTGCCCAGTGTGCCAAGAGATAGGAACCCTCCGTCACAAAATAGGCGAGTGTAGATTCAATCAAGACCACCCACTACCCCCACCCTTCCCCCTGTAGAGCGATGGGAGAACTTGCTGTCCAGCCCCGCCCTGGAGAATCAGCTTCAATTGGTCAACAGGGGCCAGGCAGACAAGGCAGCATATAGGATCTCGTGAAGAGGGAAGCCCTTCCATCCGGCAGAGACCATCGTGCTGAAATGCTCAGAATAAAAGTTTATTCTCTCTCCCTCTCTGATTGTTTGAAGTAGTTTGTGATCCGAGATATGTGACATGGGGTGGTTTAGTTGTGCCGATGCTCTTCTAGGAGGAAGTAGCAGTGAGTTATGAAGCATTGGATTATAATAGAAAATTTTATGAAATGGGGTTAAGCATGATATCTTATGGCACGACTTATACAGCTGGAATTTCAGTGCAGAGACACTAGTTCTTCGGTAATGATCATTAAGAATCAACCTGGCCGTGCGATTTTGAACCGACTCAAAATGGTTAATGGGATAAATTTGATGAGCATTGCGAATTGCTGCTGCATACAACTTTGGTCCAACGTAAGTCTCGTATGCCATTATCTGGAGATGAGATGGTGGCACCTTCAGATTTCTTTTGATGTACCCGAGAGTGTGCGAAGCCTCTGCTGAGTCTGTTTCAATGTGGTTATTCCAGGTTAAGTCAATAGGCAGTGTTGCACCAAGATATTTATAGATGGAGGCAGGCAAAGATGATTAGTCCAGAGCCAATGGAATACGAAAAACATGATGTTACATGTTTCCAATTAAAGCGAAGTACTTTACATTTTGACATGTTTAATGACATGAGTCATTTGAGATACCAGGCACGAATCGGGTCAAGATCACTCGGAAGATTTAAATGGTCATCAGACAGTAATTTTGCGATATAGGACACAATCGTAAGCAAAGAGACAAAGCCTACAATTGATAAGTCGTTAATAAAAATAAGAAACAGTAGTGGACCTAGTAATGCCCCCTGTGGAACTCCAGATATAACGTTAGTAAAGTCTGACATATGGTTGTTAGCCAGAGTGCGAGAAAAGAGAAAGTCATGAATCCAAGAAAGGACCAAAGGGTCGATACCCAGGATAGAAAGTTTTGAAATTAGATGACGATGGGGAACTCTGTCGAATGCCTTCGAGAAGTCGAGGAATACAGCATCGGTTTGGCCCTGCGAGTCAAGGTTAGTGATTAACTTGTGTTTGAGTTCAAAAAGTTGTGTCTCGCATGAAAAACCCCTACGAAATTCATGGATTGATGATTGTAAAAAATATGATTGGCTTCTTAATATGATATGGGATGATAGTTTGAGGCCAGCACACGATCACCGCTTTTAAAGACCGGAATGGCCTTCCCCAGCTTCCAGTCCAATGGTACACGCCGTTCCACCTTCAGTCCGAGCACACTGGACGCCACGAGCTATCCCAGCCGATCCAGTGTCGGGAGAAAATCGTGTGACCTTTTGGTTGGCCAGAGCGACGCAGGGAGCTCAAGGTCACATGACACTCTCTCAACGCTGGATTGGCTGGGATAGCTCCTAGCGTCCGCTGCGCTCGGACTGAAGGTGAAACGGAGTATAGGCAATACTGCTGTAATGACTAAGAAAATATGAATGTGAGGAATTCACTAGATATTACTTTGGTGTTGCTAAGAATCTTGGGGCTAATATTGTCTGGACGACAAGATGATAAGAGTTTTAAACCTATAAGTCAAAGTATTCTGGAAGCAGAAATGTTAGTGTCAATGGGGGCCATGGGCTCAAAACCAGAGCAAGGCAAACTATATGTATATGATTGATGCTTTCGTTTGATAGTATGAAAGAGAAATATTTGTTTAAAGCTCTAGTGCAATGTGGCTCAGACACTGCGTCTACATTTTCATTCTTTAGTCGGATAGAGTCAGTATTATCTCTGGGTGAAAATACCTTCCAGAACTTCTGGGGGTTACTTTGCAGAATTCGTGGCAGGCCCAAAGAAAATAACTTTTTTTTCGTCAACCTTACGCTCTGTACAAGATTTGAGACATGAGAAATGTTTGTCCCAGACTTCGTTATTATTTACTTTTTTAGCTCTTTTATACATGCGCTTCTTTTTGTTATTTATAATGATTGTAAAGTTTTATATTGTACCAGGGGTTATGCCCGTCGCTGTGTACAATAACATTCGGAACAAATTGCTCAGTTAAAATATTAAGTTTGTTTTTAAATAGTGACGAGTTTTTTCCACCGATCTTGAACGAAGGTTTTCGACATACGACTGATAGAACGATGACACGTTCCGATTTATGGTGACGTAGTAATCACCTCTGTTATAGCTCACGAATTGTTTGAACAGTTGGGCTCAGCGTCGGCACAGGGATAGATAACTCGATGATCAAGATGCCGTGGTCACCTAAGCCAGCAACACAGTTGACAGTTTTTATTATTTCTGTTGTGCTTGTAAGGGTACGGTCAAGAATATTGTCGCCACGGGTGGGTTGTTCAACAACTGGGGTGAGGTTAAAATTCTAACAGTTATTGAAAAACTCTCGCGCAGCATTCGAGCTGCTCGTGGTAAGATGAATCCAGTCAATGTTTGGAAAATTTAAGTCGTCAAAGATAGCAAAGTCTCCTTTTGGGTAAAGACTTTAAATGTCGAGCAGTATGGTGCGCAAAGTGTTGCAGCGCTCAGAACCATTGTTTGGTGCCCGATAATACGATGGGCAGGAGATCAAACTGTAACGGGTACTTTATTTGAACCTGTCCCCACAGCCCGGTGTTTACTACCAGAGCA